TAAACAAATCAAAAAAACAATGCTACCTTCTAGAATAATAATATTCAGATTGTGTTGCACTGAAAACTTTATTCAGTCTGCAACTTTTAACTTTGCTTGAACGGTAAAAACTTGCAGTATAAAAACTGAAAAGTTATTCGGTGCTTACCGTAATACCGGCAAAACAATACTATTAATAAGTCGCTCTTATTCAAAAGTATTTTTCATAGAAATAATTTTTCTGTAACGGACAACTTCGTATATTTGTGTGTATGTTAATCAAGCATTCACCAAATGAACTATTCACTATCATAAACCTTTCTTTAATCTATCATCTCAAATTTTTAAGCTCCGTAAGTTCGATGAAGTTTCCTTACTTGAGATACTTGGAAGAAACTACAGCTTATTAAGACGTAACAATAACACAGTGCTATGCGCTTGTGGCAGTCTTTACAAACAATTAGTTTTCGGTCCTGCTGAATACAGGTTCTAATCGAGCAGTCTTAGCATAAGGATTCTAGTGCAACAGTAGGCAAAAAATCTGTCAGTTCCAAGCAAATTGACGTGCATTAACTGACTTTAAGCTGTTAAATCCTGCAGAATATCTTTGTAATGCAACTGCAAAAACGAACAGGCACTTCCGTAACGTGACAAGGCAAAGAATCTCCTGTCAAAAACTTTTTATAATGATAGTAATAAAACCGTTACTTTTACCCTTCTTGGTATTAAATGTTATTTTACTACAGTTTTTTTGCCGGTTGTCCAGCTGTAGATGGAAAGAATTTGTTACCGTCGTTAAAAATACTGTTATGAATTTTTGGCAGATAGTCCCTACATTAAAACAGATTGATAAGCTAACCATGCATCTCATTTAACAACAAGTGGTTAAGATAAAAGTCATGAAACTAGTAAATCTTCTTTAAGAAAAGTACCGTATTATCACCAACATCGGCATTCTTACGTACTGAATGGTTACTGATTACAACATCTTCAACGGCTTCGAATATCCGTCGTCTGAGCACTTTGGGCTTGTGTGTCAGTTCCCCCTCATTATAAGTTTCCTCTCCGGTTTAGTTTTTTAAACAAGAAAAGAATGCATTCTAATAACATAAGACAGAGAAAGCTGTTTTTCATTAAGAAATTCTCTGAGGAAGCATAATGACAAAAAAAAAAGTCTCTTCTTTCAACAATACGTTTACTGCCGTACTTCCTCTAAGTATGGCAACAGCAACAACACCAACAACAGCGCTCTTCCATGGTCTCTGTTTTTATTCAGAAGACGCGACCAGTTAACAATTAGGTTAGAACCAAAATCTAAAAAGCTGTAATCAGACTTAAGCATTTTTGATGGGGTTTGAACAAGGGATTCACGAAACTTGTACTCCAAACTCTTCAAACTGAACGCACTTTTTTCTTTTGATAACCTGCTAGTTCAGCTCATTTTCCTGTCGATTGTGTAATCTACGCAGATAATGAGCGATTTATTGGATCAGAGCAAAATTATTACACTTCTGTAGAAAAAGAAAGTTCTACGTATTAAATAAAAAAATATTACATTGCTCCCAATAATATTACACAGTCCATCAAAATCACTGCTCAATTAACTAGGAAAAATAAAAAGAACAATTTTATTTTGACAAGTAAATACACCAGCATTTACAATAACATCACCTTAACATTAATGCTGTCGATACAACACCAAAATAAATGCATATTCAAACATTGTAAATTTATCCTCATCAAAACAGAAAATTATGAATCTATAAACAGTAATAAAACGCTCTTAAAAAAATTTCTGTAAATTTCAAGAATTCTTTCAAATAAAATTCTTTGAAAAAAATATTAATAAATCAGATTGTAAAACTTGAAAAATTTTTAGCAGACAAATAAAGTTACAGTCTTATCAAGCTTTATCCTAAAGAACTGCTGACAAATGTAGCAAGATGCATCACCCTTATTCCTCGCTTTTCCCAATCTTACAGTTACAATCGTTTTCCATGTCATCTACAGAGTAACTAATAAGACATCAGAGGTTCTCGTTGCTGAACCAATAAAAACTGCTAATGCAAAAGAAATATTTTAATTTCTGGTAAAAAATAACAAAATGGCAAAATTTGTCTGAAGTACCGTTAAATCTAAATCTTGATAGTCCCTTCAAAGACGCAGTCTGAGTAAATATATCTGAAAGGACAACAGCGAATTTTCTTCAAAAAATTATACTCAAATATCTGAAGAGGCGTTGTTTATTACATAAATCTCGCATATCCCTCTTCGATCCGAGCCATGTTTAACATAAAAAGTCAGTTTTCCACAACGGTTCAAAAAAATTAAACGAACTTCTCTCCCTCCCATAACTACAACTCACAGCAAAGATTATTTTATCATCGATTGTCAGCCAAATCAATCAGTAGCGCCAATAAATCCAGCCAATGGTTAGACCCAGTTGCTTGCAATACTACGGCTGCAAAAAAAAGAGAAACTAAAATCGTATTTGGCCAGGAGAGTTAAATTACCAGCAAATTTTTTTTAGAAAGCAGTAAAAAAAAGGATATGAGATTAACGAACATGAAACTAACCCCGATAAAATAGAACATAATCCTCGAAAAACTTTTTATATTCAGATAGCACTGCATTTTTATCAGCTCTACCAACAGCCAGACGAAACAACGATATTGAATCTACACAGTCGTTTAAAACGCACAGAAGTGACCTGTAGCGTCTACTTAAAAACAAGCGCTCACGCAATTCCGCAGTAATCCTCCTGTCAATGAAAATAAATCAAATTGCACCTACACAATAAATTGCACCTACACAACAAATCCTCCAAAGTATCGGATATAAGCACTACTGAAGAGTTACCTCTGAGCAGCTGCTGCGTCGTCTACAGAAATGTCTCCCAGGTCCAACTGCAAAAAACACAGTAGTTTCCCAAAGAAAGTCTAACTGTCGAATTTTAAGTGGTAAGGAAGATTTCTTTATTTCATATCATTTTATAAGCGGGAAGAACCGATTAGGTGAAAAATGAAAATAAAAAGCATTATAAACGCATGAAACAGCTAAGACCTCTACATCTAGCAAAAGCACAGAATTAATTTGCATCAGAAGGTACTTCCTAATCGATGAGATAAAATTCAACATTTCTGATCGTACTAACATTGTCTGCCCATCAAATGACAAGTCCTGCAGGTCCAACTAGAAAGCAAAAAATCAATAAATTACCGAAGTTTTCTCAAAAAAGTTTCCAACGCTTTCACAGAGTGAGTACTCCTGAGCAATAATTACCTCTAGAAGAGCGTTATATTCGCAATTAATCCGTGTGAAGAACGACCAAAACTGAGAATATGTATTCATTATATTTTCGGTGAAGATAATCTGCATAGGGTAAACAACCTGATAAGTAAGCTGAAGATGAAGGTAATAGTTCCTTTTATCTGAAACCATGAAAGATAAGGCGACCACCTGCCACTGAGAGAAGAATGAAGTAAAAAAGAAAAGCTTTTCTTACACGGTAGTTTCGTAAATATTAATACTCAAAAAATGAAACCACAAAGCTTATGAGCTGGTTTCATTAGAAAGTTAAAACCCCAAAACTGCTGTTAAGCGTCACAAAAAACGTTTCTTACTAACAAATAAGAATGAAACGAGATGCCAGCTTCGACACATCCTGCTCTGCTATACAGCGAGATTTTATACATTCAGTTATCGTACTACTGGCAAAAACAGCAAAACCTTCCATACCACTTGCTTCACCTGGATTCCAAATATTAAATATATTGTTATCCCGCATAATCCTAAAATCAAGTTCACATAAAAGTGATCCAAAAATTACTTGCGTAAACTGATCTCAATAAAACTAAAAAAAGTTTTATCTTGTTTCCAGAAATACTACACACCAAAAGAAATTTAATATACTAAATTTTTTGCAAAATATGTTTTTAAAACGAGTTAGGCAACTCAAGAGTGACAAAGAAGAATTGCTGTGGTAACATACATAAATACTGCATCTGATAAAACACCATCATAGCAGAGAAGTACGTTGCGAATTAGCGTAAACGTTGACCGGTACAAAAAAGAAATTACATTTCGTATTCTTATATAATCTGCGGACTGAATTACCGTTCTGCAAAAAATATTTCTGTGCAAAAACTAGTACAAATTTTTT